AAAAACACCAAAGTTATAATTTTTCCGACGGGAGCTATATGCTATAGTAGTCCGATCCGGCTCGTTCCGACTTATATACTACCTGCAGTAGAAAGACAACTGCGTTGCAAACTTCTGACTGAAATTATAATACCCTCTGCAAGGGAAAACGCATATCTTTCAGGGTGCTCATTACTCCTTCTACTTGGCCGTTTGCACGGCCGGCGCCCGTTGCAATTAAATGTAATTGTATTTTTTGCATGTTACAAAAGTCTCCGAAGACTGTTCCGGTAAAACTCCTTCCCTGATCTGCTATGACGACGATTGACGATTTCACTGCTTCGACAGAACTATCACTGGTAATATTTATGGTATGGTGCAAATAAACAAATATAATATACTCCTTTTGATCCCTTTGCCACTTAATTTTCCTCTTATATCTATGTGAATAGTGTGCCATGGAATATCTTCTTTTGGTATAGGGTGAAGTTCAATTGGTAATTTACCTGAGGGTGGTTTTGTTAATTTACAGGTGATATAATTATTTACGAATTTTCGGACATATCTAGACATATTGTCGAACCAGTAGAACTCATACATCTTGTCCAATGTCTTTTCCCACCCGAGATGAACTATTGCCTCATGGACGTGGTTTACTACCGACTACCTAAATGATCTGGACAATACTGGAAGGCTGCGCGTCCTACCATTTCTTTGAATTTTGCGGAAAAGTATTTTAGAACGCAATTCATATGTTTTGGCCAATCCATCTCTCAGTTCTTCATTTTGAATTCTTGAAATAATGGATAAAGTTTCTTCATCTCGTTTGTTCTGCCACTAACCATACAACATATAGACTGTTGTATGGTTAGTGGTTCAACTGAGTTTGGATGATTTGGAATCCGGTGATAACCAATCAACCGTCCAAACACGTAAAATACTTTACCCCACCTAATCCAGCAATCTGATTGTTAATAAGAGGCAAGGGATACTTTTCTGCCACTGTGTTCGAATTTAACTCGCGGTAATCTACATAAAGTCGGTCAGATCCGTTTTTGCTTTTTTACTAGAAGCATTAGACTATCAAATGGAGAAGAGCTAGGACGGATTATATTAGCTTGTAGTAATACTTTTATTTTTTTACTCACTATTTCTTTTTCCTCGAGACTGAGTTTGTAAGGCCGCCTTTGGACCGTCTTATTTGTATTAATGAATCGAATATGAAACTCTGTGGTTGTCACTCGACTTTTAGGGAATCCATCTTATTTACACCATCCATACCAGTATTGATATTGGAAAAATCACAACTATTACTAAAAGCAGAACAGGTATTTATAGATACAGTTTTAAACAGTTTAAATTTATCGATCGATATTGATACGCCTAAAGCCTGTCTTAGAATTTCACGGACAATTATAATACTATAATTAATAACTATCTTAAGCAACATACAGAATAACTTCAAGCGTGTACTCGCTAATCATGACATTGGGTAATATTTTTAAAGTACTAGTTACCGTATTATTTCCTATAACTCTTAAGCTAATAACATTATCGGTTAGTGTGCCGGACAGCTGTTGGGATACCGATTCTTTTACGAGGGAGCACTCTGCTCCAGAATCAAAGCAAAATGGATATGACTCAACGGATGATGTCAAAGTGGTCCAGATACGTTACACAAGTTAATGCGCTTTTCTTGTGATTTGCCCTGGATTTCTGATGATAGACGTCCTGGTCAAGCCGATGCGATGTGTCCTAGATTCCCACAACGGTAGCACGTAATGGTTCCCCTCTTAACGTCGATCGATCGGCTGTGGTTTTTTTGAGCTGCTTTTCCTCGCGTGGCTGTCGACGATTTTATGACCAATTTTCCCGCAGAAATGAAATTTAAGTGGTGTTGCCAGGAGCGGCTTTTTGGCCACAGGATTCTCCGAAGCGATATGATTTCCTTTATTGACGAACGCAAAAGCCTTCCACTCGTTCTGCAACTCAGAGTGGTTATTTGACGGTTTCCATAAAGGGATAAACATTCGACGGCTTTTGGGCGACCGTTAAAAACGTGCTGTAGGGGATCCCACTTCTGATGTCGGAACATCGAGTTCCTCAATGAATTCTGTGGCGTTGCGAGCCGTGCGCTTTCTCGGCTGTGGCATTTCGTGACCGCACTTCGATCGAGACTGTCTGATCTATTAATCAGAACTCCCTTTTATACAGCCCAAATTGGCCAACATCCTCTTGATTACATATTTTGCCAAATACCATATGGCCGTCTCTTTTACACTTAAAAGACCACCGTTAGGCTTAACGCAACACTTACACCCAGAAACTCATATAAAGAAAGGAATGTGGAGGGAGGAATAAAAGTGTAATTCCAAGTTAATTAGCATTTCATATTAATTCTTATTTTAATAGCGAAATTCCACGAAAACAAAACTAAAGATCCGACATATATATATTCTTGATCAGCATCACCAGGAGAGTAGATCTAGTCTTGTCCGTTTGTCTGTCCGTCCGTCCGTTTTTACGCAAACTAGTTTCTCAGTTTGTCAGCTATCTGCATAAAACTTTTTCAAGAGTTGTTTGCCTATTGCAGGTAGTATATATGTAAGTCGGAAAGAGCTGGAACGGACTACTATAGCATATAACTTTCATAGGAAAAATCGGAAAATTTTTTTTTTTTTTTTATTTAAGTTTTATTTACAATCTGTCTAATGACAATAAGTAAATTGTATCACTAATATTTACATAACGGGAATAGTAGATTTCCAGTGAAACCTGCTATTAATTTAATTTCTCGTTTACTTAAATTTACCTATCAGGGAGATCAAGAATGTGGAATCTTTTGAGTCTTCTGAATGTTAAGCTATTGTCTACTAGACCTGGGGTTAAATTATTTACATGATTGTGAAGTCTGTCTGTATATTTGTTACTATATTTTTTTATCTCCTCTTTTACAGTTGGAATATTTAGATCTTTATGAATATTTGCATTGGTTACATAATATGGAGCGTTGATGGAGTTGATTTAAATTTTCCAGCGAAGGAACCAGGCTTCAATCAGACTGAGCTCACATTGCTAGAGATGGGATGCTTCATCTCTAGATGAACTTGTTGCCAGAATGGCTGTAACGTCAGCATATGTTGCAATGGTGCAGTTGTTTGTTAATGGCATATCTGCTGTGTAAAGTGTGTAAAGGACTGGTCCCAATACAACGCCTGCGTTTATGCGAAGTAGTGTTGACGTATAATTTCTCTGCTGCACGTAGAAGCATCTCTTAGACAAGTAGGATCTCATTAATAAATAGAATGGAGCAGGCAGCCTTTTATTTATCTTGAAGAGTAATCCATTGTGCCAAACACGATCAAAAGCTTGCTGAAATGTTGCAGTACAATATTTTTTATTCTCGAGTGCAGATACAATTTCATTGATAACCCTATGACATATCTCAGTTGCCCGTGGTTTTTTCTGAATCCGAATTGATATTCAGGAATGATGGCAAGTTCGTCCAAAATTGGCAACATCCTCTTCAGTAGTATTTTTTCAAATATTTTCGAGAATATTGTCAACAGACTAATGGGACGGTAAGATGATAGTTCAGTTTCTGTCTTGTTTGGCTTGAGGATCATTGACTTGGGAATTGGTCTAGCCTGAGAATAGCGTTAAATATTAGCGTGAGAAACCGTATGCATTTTGATGGTAGAGTTTTAAGAGTGATGCCATCTATCTTATACGGGCCTGGTGATTTTTTATTGTTTAAGCAACAAAATTTTGACTTTGCTGTTTTTAATTTTTTTATTAGTTCTTCGTCATATAGTAATAGTTAACTATTTCAGAATTACGGTTTAAATTTCATCAAAAACAGACGACTATAACTTAAAGCTTCCATGGAAAAAATAAAAATATTAAAAAAGTTTCATGCAGATAGTTTTAAAAATGAAAAAAATGTATTTTTATTTTGTAATTTTTTTAAAAAATTCTTTTTGATTTATTATTAATTTGACAGTTGAGAACTACACTTTTAATTTTATTAAAATCGGAAAACGGTAATTGAGCTGCAAATCATCATAGCTTCAATGTTTTTAAACATATACGCAAGTAAATCATAATTTTAATGTTTTAAAGAATATTTAATTTTTGCAATACCTGCAAGAGTATAAAAACTTCGGCTTGCCAAAGTTAGGTGGAAACCACCATAGTTTCAATGTTTTTAAATTTATACGCATATAATTCGAAATGTAGATGTTTTGAAGAATATTTAATTTTTGCAATTGCTGCAAGGGTATATAAACTTCGGCTGGCCGAAGTTTGCTTTCATTCTTGTTTTATATGGTATAGTCGTCGATCCGACTTATATACTACTTGCAACAGGAAGACAACTTTTGTGAAGTTTCATGCGTAGCAACGGACGGACATGGCTAATTCAACTCTCCTAGCGATGATGATCAAGAATACATAAACTTTACTATACGATGCTGCTGGATCCATCTGCTATCGATGCCTTCATCCTCCATTCGGGGGTTGAAAAAGTCTTCCAACATGCCGCGATAACTTCATCATTGACACGGCTTCTGATTCGTTGTCGAAAAATGAATACCGCACCAAGCAGTCACTCGTTGTGGATGCATTGGCTTCTCCAAGACGACGTGCGGGTTTTTGGAGACCTAACTGCATATTGAGGTAACGACCGAAGTGGAAACGAGCTTTATCTAAAAATATGATTTTTGATAAAAATGCTTATCTTCCACCAAGCGCTCTTTAGCCAATTGCGAGAACTGAAATAAACCTTCTACAAAAAACTTGCAAGTTTGTACAAAAAAAAATTTGATAAATATCCACCCGTTTTCTTTAAAGCAATTTTAAAACGCAACTTTTTCGTGGGCCACCCCACAATACAATACGAGACAAATCTGTAAGGTAACACGCTATTCCTTAACACTTTGAACCTTCTTCTGAATAAACCTTCACATTTGGCAGCAATCCAACAAAATTAAAGTTCCGTTATAAGTGAAGAATAATTTATTACAAAATATTAAATAATCGGGTGAGATTTTGTTTTTGCTGGCAACTGTACAATTTAAAAATTTTTGTGTCTGGTAATGCAGCTGCTCCAAGTTTTGTATATATTCCGATTATAATTTAGATGTGGTACTTTTACAAAAATTATTATAAAAATATAAATGTATGTAATGCAAATGATTTGTTAGTGTTTGTTTTACTTAAAAATTATTACACAAGCATAAATGTCTTTTATAAATGTAATCAAGTTGTTACAAACAATTTTCAATTACTTAAAGTGCACATCAAATTGATTAACTAGCGAAATCTCACGTAAACAAGGCAATCTTTATAAACAACTTTCGGCGAGCCGCTTTTGTTGAGGGAACACAACTTTATTTGATAATTTAAAATGATACCTTATGCACTGGTTAACTTCTGGATGTGTGCCAGATTTCAACTCTATATAAATATAAAGTTAGATCAAAGAGCTCCACCACGTAAAATTTAGTTGGGACTAGTTAAGTATTAATTCAACTAGGAATTTCAAAGCTATTTATGGTTTTGTTGTGTATGAGTGTACGAGTATGCTGTAAGAGTTAATTCAAAATACATTTATACCTAGAGAGCATGTGTTGCTTTCTCAGTGAACACTAATTAGCTTTTGTTGTTAACAACAGGATTGACAGAGCTGTCGCTGATCATTTCCGTCAGATAAATGGTGCCATCGAAATCTTTTTGATATGATTGGGCAGCCACGGCCATAGCTTCACGGCGCTGACGTTTCATCTCCAGTAACTGCTTTCTCTGAGTCTCGCGCTTTAATGCCGCTGCCGAATTCGGAGGAGGAGCCTTTGAGCCGTTTACATTAGTTGTGTTGGTATTTCCAGCCGTTTTTGGTTTCAAAACTCCAAACTTTGCGGATTTGGTCGTCTTATTTGATACTGGGTCGATCATGGTTGGCTCAGCTAAGCGCTGTGTAAAATACATAATTAAGCATTATTTTATTTAATTTAGATTTTCGAAAACCTACCTTCCAGTCGTTTGCTTTGAGCCTTTCAATATCATTGAAAATAGAATCAACGTGTTTTACCTGTAAATAAACCATGTCCCAGAATCCTTGTAAATCGTCAACTGTTGTTGGAAACTCGTCCTCAGGTGAGCGATTCACATTGTTGTGGCAAAGGCCTATAATATGAAAATCATTAACATTCGGCTCGTAACACTTAAGATTGCTTTAGCTTACCCTCGAACTGTTTCATTTTCTGTGATACCAAAAGCCGGGCCTTACCTGATGCCGATCGCAGTAGGCCAAAGGTATCCTCTGTGATTTCCACATTTGTCTAAAATTTAATGTTAAAAACAGTATTAACTGAGCTTAAAATAGAAGTAACTGAGCGATCAAAAGTACCACTTAACGAGGTTAAAAGTCGTGACGACCGCACCTTCCACAGACAAAATATTTGATACAAATTTTGTGACAAGGACGCATATTTTAACAAAATTTAAACTGTGCTAAAAAACATTTTATCAACCCGGCTCAAGAATTCCACTTAAACAAATGTTTAGTCACTTGCTCCAGAACCAAGTAATTTTTTTAAAGTCTTCGTATGCAATCCATATTCTATTAGCGATAACTTTCAATTTGTGTTTTACTCGTTACGATCGGTTCATCAAAGCAGGTTTTTAGTTCTGCGGATATATGTATGTAGTAGCAGTATAGTTTTCTATGCACACGCACCTGGTGCGCATTGTAACTACATGTAAAAAAAGAGTAGACTTTTGGAAAAGTTTCATCCAGATAGCAGCATAAATCTAAGGGACTATTTTGCATAATACGAACGGACAGACACGTCTAGATGGACTCGACTGTTGATGCTGACTGAGAATATATATACTTTATATAGTGTCGGAAATGTCTCACATACTGCTTTGCGAATTTTTGACCGAAATTAGGAGAATTGGAACAAAAATTAGTTTACTTACAGACAAGGCATCTGCATATTTTTCAGCAAGAGCAGCCAGCGCCAGCAGCCGACTTTGCTCGTCTTTCAATATCTGAAGAAAGTAGTTTCCGTCCTTAACAGTAGATGTAAGAAGAATTTTGGTAGTGTTGGTGTATTCCTCTGAGGTTAACTCGTTCAGTTTTAAAGGCTTATGGTCGACTTCATCAAGCCGACCAGAATCTGGCATTGACTGTGATTCGCCATTTGTTACCTGCACCTCCGGGGCGTTGGAGAATCGAGGGGCACCTCTTTTGGGTGATACCGAAGGCAACTGGGCTCGAAATTCGTAGCTAAGATGTCTAAAAACGGGCAGGTCCACATCTGCACTTTGTATTGAAATTGGTAAAGGGTCGGCCAACCGCGCCGTTGCACTCTGTAAGCAGTTATTGTACAGTTTTTTGCGGAACTCGCCGTAGTCTTTACTAGGCGAGAGCTGTTTGAATTTTCGAACCAGTTCCGAGCTCTGCGGTGACTCGGCTTCGAGCTGTTGCTTTGACGTCCGCTCCAATGCCGGTGATGGGGACAAACTGTTCTTCTTGGGGCTGTAGAAGCCCTGCGCCAGTGCTCCCGGCCCGTAAAGTCTCTCCACTCGCTGTTTTATAAAGCTACCATTTCCATTGGACACGCCACGATCCGCTCCGTTGTCCACGTTGCGGTCATTGCTTTTAATGTTTGGTTCGATCGGGTTGTACTTGCCCACCGGAGAAGGCATGCTGTGCAGAACTGGAGCCGCCAAAGAGTGGCTCCGCCTGCAATACTGCAGACTACTGGTAGAGGGACGAATTGGCGATACTTCGCGTGACTTGTTAATATCCTGGCGGATCTTGGAGTCATATGTGGTCAGGTTGGAGTAGCCGTTGACGCAGCAGGCCAGGTTCAAATAACTGGGCTTTTTTTCGGCAGCAGCGGCATCTGGCGAATTTTCAACGGAAATCACTGCAGGGACATCGACGTTTGGCTCCCGGGCGGATTCCAGGACGACGGGCGACAGCACCATCCGCACCAGCCCGGTCGACACAGGTTTCACGTAGGCGGAGGTTGTGTTCTGCGGCGAGCGGAGTACACAGCGCTCGCGAAGGTTGGCGGTGAACTCACGGGTTATGTCCTTAACGGAGAGCGGCGTAGGAAAGTTTAGGCTGTCACTAGTGTCTGCCAAGGGCGAAACAGAGAATAACCACATGTGGAATGCAGGTTGATTGAGCTTAGGGACATTTTACATACCTGATATGTCGGAGGAGTCGGCGTCTACATCGAGTGAACAGCTGCCAATGGAGTCTAGACTGCGATCCATGTAAATGATGTCTGAGGAATAAAAAGCGTTGAAATTTCGCTAAATAATTATAGAAATTCACAAATCTAAAACGTGTGAACTAAAATAACTGATTGTTGACTACCGGTAGCCATGACCAAGAACTAGTAGGTGAAATTCGGGTTGCTTTTAATGAGAAATGCAGATTTCGCGAGACAGCTCTGCCTTTTAAGGGAAGCAGAAACTCGAACAACCGGCTGCAGACGTAAGAGATAGATTGAAGCAATGGTTCGGATTCATTTGCAAATCAGATAGATTAATTTTTGGAGCGACATTAAAAACTAGCGTCTAGCTGACGTGCTATGTACGTCCCCTTGTTCTTAGAGCCAGGCTTGTGAGTGTGTGAGTGCCCAGCTCAGCAGATGGGAGCAACTTTAACGGCACCTCGCCAGTTCCGCTTTGATGGCTTTTCGCCGTTGTTAAGCCTAGTTGCCAGGTCCCATTCTCTTCTCAGCGTGGACCAACCTACATTTCTGCTGACAACAAATTGGCACGTCTTGGAGCCCATACTGTTGCCGAAAGACAACCCACAACTATTTATAATCCGATCGAAAAGGAGAATACCACGGTTTCGCTGACGCTCAGAGTTCACAAGCAACCAAAACTCTAGAAAGGGGACCCAGCATGCACACGCACACACACATCGGTCTATTTTGGTCGCAAATCACTCGGTGATTTGTAAGTTCCTACCGAAGAAATGCCAAGTCAAGTCTCCAGGCGGATTCAGAGCAAGATTTACTTCACTTTCTGGAAATACGACTGTGTGGCCGTAGTCTGGTCGTTAAAAAACGACCTCTAGTCAACAAGAGACATTTTTAAAATGAACTGACTGAGTTGGTCAAAATAGCGACGGCGAGTTCGCGACAAAAGTGGAACGATGGAGTTCGGAACATTGGGCTGATTTTATACCCTTCTAAAGGGTATTATAAAATACCCTAGAATATGAACTATATAGAGATACAATTTGCTATGACGTTCTCTCGAGTGACTTTTTCAATGATGCCACATGGATAAAAAAAAAGAAAAATTTCAGTTTCTCACGGTTCGATTCGAACTTGTAATTTGGCCCCGCGGTGGGTTTCTGCAGCTGAACTGCTCGATCTCATTGTTAAAATGGCTCTCAACAGAGCTTGAGCAGAGGTGCGGGCAGAGCAAATGGTGTCTCCATATATTTTTTACTCTATGCTCTATGAAAGAACTGTTAGCGAGGGGTGGGGTTGCTGCACACTCTAACCTTCTGGTGTTGGCAATACAGGTCGTCAGATGGCGCTACTCAAACACCGATTGTTTTGTGAGGAAATATTTTGTTTGAAGTTAGCTAGCTGAGTAACGGGCATATAATAGTCGGGAACTCGACTTTAGCGTTCTTTTTTTTTTTTATGTACGCTGATTATGATAGAAATTTTGTTTATCGGACTACTTTTTCACTGTGGACGGCCGTCCACGTTGTGACGCTGAACACAGGAAAGCGCAAGGAGTACTATACATATATGGCCGCAATATTCGAATCAGGAGAGAATTCTTCGATCTTAATAAATGATATAGCAATCGAAAGGTAGCGGTTTCATAAGAGTTCGAGGATACTTAAAGTGTAAGAAAGTCATTTGGTTCCGGAGAAACGGGGTTTCAAGTGCCAAAAAATGTTTATTGGAGTTGTTGTGGCCGGAGGAACAGAAAAAACTGACTTTTGTCGTACTGTTGTATTCTGGTTTTCAATACGCGTCCAATAACAGCTCGGTCATCAACAAATACAATTTTTAGATCATTTTTGAAAGTACGACGTTTGCACGGTGAAATTTTTGATTAGGGTCTCAACGTTCGTTCTACCACTTTTTGGAAAATCCACTAGTTTAGCAGGAAAACGGTTAAAAAAGCTAGATTTCATACGCCCACAACGCCCAAACGACCAATGCAACGGGTACTATATAACGTTGAACAGGTGTTTTTAAGGGCTATTTCTGTTTGCTTGACATAATTTCTTCAAGTTGAAAAATTACGAAATTATAGCACAGAATTGGGTTTTTATTCATATTTGAAAACGCCACTAACGTCACTAAATCTTGAGGTTACGATTCTTTTGATATATAGCAAATATATACACGGCCGTCCACAAAAACATAAAGTAAGACCTACATATATAGAGACACCATTTGCTATTGCAAATGGTACAAATACCAGAATCTATGGCGTGCGCAATGCTCGAAATCAGGAAAGAATAGTCCAATCTTAATAAATGATATAGCAATTGAAGGTATCGGTTCAATACGAGTTTGTGCATACTAAAAGTTTTAGAAAGTTATTTGGTTCCGGAGAAATGGGGGTGAACAAATTGTTTACTTATATTGGAGATGTTGGGGTCGGAGAAACTAAAAAACTGTCTTTTGTGAAACTATTGTATTCTGGCTTTAATTACGCGTACACCTCAGTCATCTCAATCCGATAATTTTTATAGCATTTTTGAAATTACAACGCTTGTCCTCTTGTTTGTTTGCATGGTAAATTTTTTGATGTAGGGTCTCAAAACTCTTTTTACTGTATTAAACAGCTCGATTTGAAGAACGTTTGTTCTCCCCTTATTGGAAAACCCGCTAGTTAAGCGGGAAAACGGCTAAAAAACCTAGATTTCACACGTCCATAACTTCCAAACGACTAAAGCTACGGGTAGATAAAAAGCTTTGTTGGAGCGCGACGAATAAAAACATTTTAAATGAAGTATCGATAGCAGATGGATCCAGCAGTATAGTGCCATTAAGTATATGTATTCTTGATCAGCATCACTAGGAGAGTTGATTTAGCCATGTCCGTCTGTCTTCCTGTTGCACGTAGTATGGATCCAGCAGTATAGTGCGATAAAGTATATGTATTCTTGATCAGCATCACTAGGAGAGTTGATCTAGCCATGTCCGTCTGTCTTCCTGTTGCACGTAGTATATAAGTCGGAACGACGACTATATCATATAAAACAAGAAAGAAAGCCAGCTTTGGCCAGCCGAAGTTTATATACCCTTGCAGCAATTGCAAAAATTAAGTATTCTTTAAAAAAACTACATTTCCAATTATATGCGTATAAGTTTAAACACTTTAAAACTATGTAACGATTCAGGCTGGATGTGATTTTTAGAAAAGGGTCACGCGCGAATTGATCTTGGTGCTTTCCTTATAGTGTATTGTACCATCAAAATATTCACTGACTTTGAAATAAAATTGCGTGAGGGAATCTGGTTGTACTCTAAAAAACAAAGATTCTCTCCACGCACGTTCCGAGATCTGCTGTGCCCTCTGATGTCAAGATGACCCATGTTGCCCTCCCTACCTATGGTCATTCCGAATCGCGTCGCTAAATTTTGGATGACCCCTTTAACATATACTAACTGCTCACTGGGGCGGCATACTGGTGGAGGCAATTAAAAGGGGACGATTTAAAACATTATAAAGTTTATTCTTTAAAACTAATAGCATAATACATAAAACAGCGTTGAGTACAAATATAAAAGCAAATTAATTTTCGGACTAGGTAAACAGACCGCAAAGTAAACAGCAAAACAATTTAAACACATGCCAAAGCCAAAAACTAAGTAACGTGAGGTGGTGAGTAAGGATTGCAAGCGCTTACCAGATAAATCAACAATATCTTTTGTGGTCTTTACAAAACATTCGATTTTGGCAATAAAAAAGGAAATCTTTTATTAATTTTTATATTCGTATGCATTTTTTTTTAACTTTCCATCGAAATTTGCAGTTCCCTTCCTTCTTTTTTTCTTTGCTTTTTCGTGCCTAGCAATGAACTGTAGGACGAACTCGCGGAGACAGGGGATCAAAATTGATTTTCAACGCACTATCATAATACGTGTTTGGAATTAAAGACTTATGTAAAACTCACCCAAATTCAGCTCCCTCGAAGAAAGCGCTTTCCCGATGTGGCTGCTGTGGTGGAAAGTATTTAAAACGCTGCACAACTCACTAATGCACTGGCCCCTTTTTCTCGGGTCTCATCCCACTGTGGTCAGACTTCTAAGACAATTTTTTCTTTGCATTGTCTTTATTATTTTTTCATCTTCAGAGATTTTGGGGATTATTGAGGGGCAGTTACAAATGATATTAAAGATTTTCAAGCCAAAAAAACTCAAAAAACTTGTTAAAGCCCTACCATAATCTCACCAGAAAAAAACCACTTAACACCAAAATGGATAATACTTCCGGATCTGCTGCTTTTAAGATTGACTTGACGCGAATTTCCCGACCGGTAGCAAGATCTGCGTCAGTCCTGCCCTTTTCTGCTGGCTTCACGTGGACTCGTCGCCCAAACTAAGTTCTCCTATTCCGTCTTCTCGCCCATTCGCGACTGAGATTTTTCGGGAGAGCTTGATAATATTTTGGCGCTCTAAACCTTCTCTCTTCCTAAAGGTGTTTCACTACCGGGTTTTATATATATTCCTTTTTTTAAAGGTAGATGTAAACTTAGGAATATTTGCGGTTTGTTAAAGATGTTAAGCGCTTTGTCGCTAGGTTCCTTCTTCTCCGCCTGGTTTAGGATCATTCGGCCTGTATGGCAGACTCCGGATGCAGCTAGCAGACCACCAGCGTGTTGACAAAAATGAGCTTTTACTAAGCCTAAAAAGTGCACAAAAAAAAAACACTTTTAACCTTTTACTCCCTTGACCAGAACCTCTCACCAAAAACCCTACTCTGCGTAACTCGGCGCAGAGTTTTTCACCAAAATTTCTTCGCCTTCAATGTTTAGTTTTTTTTTCTCCCCCTCTTTCTCTTGGCAGCCGCAAATTTAAAATGGTTTGTTATGAGAGATCGCTGGACTGCCAAGATGGAAAAGACTGTGGCAATCGCTCTACACCAGGCGGAAACCTTCTCCGCCGCCTAGGGCCTCTTCGTGTCACTTGCCTCTGTTGCATTTAGCACTCCGATTCACCAGCAACCTAGACACCCTCTTTAGCTATGGCGACAGCTATCCGATACTCCCACCTGGGTTTGCTCGCCCATAGGCGGCGCCAGCCAAGTATCTTGTACGGTCACAAGTATTGGTTTTACTATTATTCTAATAATATATGTTTGGGTTTTACAATAAGGAGTTACAAGGCGTGCGTGCAGCTTAGCCGAGAGCCGGAAGAAGAGAGCGATGTGTTTCTTAAAACATATCGATCAGAGACATAACAATAAATATCGTAGCTAAGTTCTTAGTTTACAGCTTTTCCGCTAGATGGTATTTAAACTTGGGCCGCCACAGTACTCACTCTCCAGTGACGACGTCACAATACTTTGAATTGTACTCGCTTCCTCTGGTAGGTTCGTGGTTGTACAGCGATCTCAGGTTGAGCATCCTGCTGTGTATCGGCTTTAGCTAGAAAGGCCAGTTTTGTTCGATCGACGGAGACCGCTACTTCCTTGCCGTTGACATTTAATGTGAAAACTCGGTCATTGTTGCGATAAACGACTTCAAAAGGTCCAAAAGGTTCAAAAGTTGCCTCGGTGAAGATTTTTCAGGCCGTTGCCTAAATGCATACAGGAGAGGTTTGTGGTCTGTTTTAATGCAAAATATTCGACCCTCGAGGCAGTGCTTGAAATACTTTATGGCTTCGTAAATGGAGAGCAACTCTCTATCGTATGTGCTGTAATTTTTCTCAGTGTCGGTTAATTTTTTTGAGAAAAAACCAAGAGGCTGCCAATGACGATTGACCAGTTGTTCTAGTGCAGCTCCAATTGCGACATCAGAAGCATCACATAAAAGAGCTAGTTGTGCTTTTGGAAAGGA